GATTTATAACACAGGAACATAGGTAGGATTTCAAAAAAACTCATAACCCTAATATATACATATGTGTGTGTGTGTGTGTGTGTGTGTGTGTGTGTGTGTGTGTGTGTGCAAATTGTCCAATGATTTGTGAGAATAGAATGCATACAAATAGACAGAAGCTAATCAAGAGAAAATAAGACAAACAGGATGGCATATGAAAGCCAAAATTACCAAGAAGACTTTCTATAATTTCGGATCAAATTTTCCCCGGAAAATATAAACATGGCCTCCGAAACAATCACATACAAAAAACATTCTTGTCGTCCGACAAACCTGTGCGTGTAGATATATATATATATATATATATATATATATATATATATATATATATATATATATATATATATATATATATATATATATATATATATATATATATATATATATATATATATACATATATATATATATATATATATATATGTGTGTGTGTGTGCATTCATTACCAACGCTGGGCGACGTTATCAAAGTAAATGTAGAACATCTGTAACATCTGCAATACAAGTTGTAAAATTAATTTACCTTAATAAAGTCCCCTTAGGGACGAAACGCGTTATGTAAGCAAAGTGTTTAGTTTTTATGTCTTCATATATATATATATATATATATATATATATATATATATATATATATGTGTGTGTGTGTGTGTGTGTGTGTGTGTGTGTGTGTGTGTGTGTGTGTGTGCATATATATATAGAAAAATAGGAAAGAACTGTTAGGTTAATAATCCGAAGTTCTTTAATATTTTTGTTTTTAAAAACAATGCTCAATACACAAGTTGAGCCTAAATTATAATTTGCGATGGAATCATATTTTTAAAATAATAATTATATATATATATATATATATATATATATATATATATATATATATATATATATATATATATATATATAGTATTTTAATCACGCTTAGCAATGGAGAGCTGTTAATAATATTCCTAACGTGTAAAGGAAATAGAAATGTTATTTTTATATGATTTAAAAATCCCTTCTGAAAATATTTAAAATTGGGTGCTCTTATATATGTAAGAAATACTAACAATATATATATATATATATATATATATATATATATATATATATATATATATATATATATATATATATATATATCCATATAAGATGAAACCCTTGACTTGACTTAGTCATTAGAATTACAATTATCTGTTGATGTTAAACCTTTTCGCTAGATACGCACGCTAGATACGCACGCGTTGATAATATTAGCACCAGTACCAACCCCTTTTTCAGCTTTTGAGCATGTGTAAAAAGAAAACCTGAGAGCATCCGTGCTGTGAATCACAAGAGCCTAGCTCTCTTTCACTTCGGGTCGAGATCGGAATAGGACGCTAAAGATAGGGCTCCGTGCAATAGACACATATTTCGTACAAAATACACCTCATTTACTCTTTAATTCACCAACAAAGTAAGGTCAACTTTTCCTTTATTCTTTACAGAGACTCTTAATAATATTCATTGAATTCGCACATTCTTTCAGGAATTATCCTTGAAATTTTATCTACGCGAAAATGTTCCCAATAGAATAAAATTTTATATCTCGTTTTGTTCCACTTTTTTGTTTGTCTATTTCTTCAACAAATTCAACATATTTAGTTCGTCAACATACGACGCCTAATCAACTTCAAACGACAGCCCTTAACCTAATAACAACACTCTCTCCACCTTCTCCCTCTCTCCCCCTCCTCCTCTCCTATATGCGCTCTCTCTCTCTCACACACACACACACACACACACACATTCTTTTTTGGTTCAATTATTCATACGTCTACATTTGTTTTCAATACATAAAAACAAGAAACATCTAGCATGAAAAATCCTACGTCGAAAAGACCTTTTATGAAAAGAAAATAAGGACAATATTTCATATATCGTCATATTCTTTCGACTCTATGAAAGAATAGGAGAGAAACAAAAAGCAAATTGTCAGAGAAGTCGGAGGAAAATTGGAAAGTATTTAATGAATTTGAAACTTCTAGAAAAAATAACGAAGGATGGGAAAAGAAAATTTTAAAATTAAACCAAAGTAACAAATAAAGGAAGTGGCCTCATACTCGAATATTTGTTTACTGCACAAAAATTAGAAGTTGCTCAGACACAGAGGAGACGTTACTAAGCAACGGCTTCAAGATGCTGCAATCAACCTTCTTTCAATCTGGTCGTTTTCTGAGAAACTCAAGACAGAAAATGTTCACCATATAAAACACGCACTTATCAAATTTCAGTACTTATGGATCTGCGTGATGACCGGTTATGTCGTGAGAATCGGATAAAAAGAAAGAAAAAACTAAACGCTCAATTAACTTGATTAAGTTAGGAAGGCGTCCTTCTTTTCTTTTTTGTAAAAGAATTTCATTGTTTGAATGGAAACGCAGCACAAACAACGAAAATGCATTGAAAGGTCTACCGTTTGAGATTAAATAAAAAATATTTCTGGCTGTAAATAAGGTGCAAAGTGTTGATAAGCAGTAAAAAACTAATCAACCAAAAAATTTGTGTCTACCATTTTCTTATGTGTCTTCGATAATCAGATCCAAAAGGCTAAATTTCTATTTGTGATGTCATATGTTCAAAATAACAATCCTTAAACTTTTTGTCGAATTGGACGTGTACTCACTTAAGTGTATGCGTGTGTGTGTTTTTGGGGAGACACATTTTTCTAAGAACCCAAACCTATTTTTGAACAGTTTCTCTTATTATTATTTCGTTTTTATCTTCCATTATTTCCTATGGTAACAGCAGTTATTTTCGTATTTCTCTTTGAAATTTAGTGAACATACCGATTCGTCCATTGATCTTCCAAGGTTCTGCTGTAGAATTTTACAACATTGTAAACATCATTTTTCAGGTATTAAACCCCTTAAGCTAGTGTCCTGTGCAAGCTTTATTCCAGTTTGACGAGGTGAATTTGACGAAGGTGAATTTAACTTTGCAACTCCTTCAATTCTAATCTTACAAATAACTTATTTCATCTTACTATGGACAAATTGTAAAAAATATGTTCATTTTGAGCAGTTTCTTAAATTTAAGAGACGATCATGTTCATGAATGAAGAGAAATATAATTCTTCTCTTACGTGCCTTTTCGTTTTCATTTTCTCTAAAACTTCGTTGTTGGTCAAATGTTTGGTCCATGGTATTCTGAGCATCTTTCTGTAGAACCACATTTCTGTTGCTTCAAATCTCTTCTTCATCTGTGAGGAGATTGTTCAGCATTCTCTGCCATATAGGAGAATCAATAAGACACAAGGCTTCAATGCCCTTTTCTTTGCTTCTAATGAAATTTTCCTGTTTCTCAATACTTTGCTTAGCTTTTGGAAGGCATCTTTCTCTATCTCAATGCGCCTTCGGATTTCTGTGCCGCACTTTCCGTTCCCTGTTAAAACACTTCTTATATATTTAAATTGTTGTACTTGTTTGATTTTGGTATCTCCAATTTGTAATTTATATTTTTGGTTGTTCCTTTTGCTACAACCATGCATTCTGCCTTAATGCAATTGATGTTTAGTCTTTTTCTTCTCACTTTAACTTCACTACCTTTTGTAGGAGTTCTTGTAATTTCCTTTCAATGTCTGCTATCAACATTATGCCATCTGCATATCTTATATTACTAAGATTATGACCGCTAAATAATGAATCCTAGTTGGACTTTTACTTCTCTCGGAATCGACTCAATGTATGAACGAGGTTGAATAAGTCCGGTGAGAAGACACATCATTGTCTTACACTCCATATTTACTGAATTCATTTTCTATCCGTATGCAGGCGGTTTTCTACCAGTATAAGTTCTGACTAGAGTTAAATTATTTCGATCAAAACACAAACCATTTAAAAAGGTATCAAATATGCTTTCATTTTACATAAAAATATTATGGTGGAAAAATAAATAATTTTTATTGTAAAGTTAGAATTTTTATATGAATATGCAAATTAGGTGGCGTTTATCGACAGGGAAATTGGGATTAAGGCGACAAGTTCAAATTCGGGCCGAAGTTGCTGCGTTCGCTTTCGCACAAATACGAATTAATCTCTTCCTTGGTTGTTAACCAGTCTATGAGAAAGGCAACTTTGAATTCAGAAACCGGTAGGGCGTTGGTTTTAGAAACGCCTCCTAGTCGCTACTAAAACCACAGCAGTAACGCGACCATGGTGATGCCGTTGCCCTGTACTCCACAGATTATTATTCTTATGTTTCTATGGAAAGTGACGCTACTGTATATGTATCTAGTCATGTGGTTTCTAACAGGTGTATATACATTTACATCATAAATTTCCTGTAGATTTGCCTATTTAAAAGAAGAAAAATAAGGTGTTTTTTGTGGGCCTCATATCCATAAGCCAAATTATTTGACAGGATTTTTATGGCAGTGGTGGTTCCATAGCTACTTGCCTTCAACCTCAAAATATCAGAAGGATTGTAAAGGCACAATGCTCAAGAGATTGCATACTGTTCGTTGTGACAAACATATCATAAGTCATACGATTGAAAATTTTCAAATGACAAACCCTTGTGTTAATTTGAAGCACTTTTGAGGTTTTTCCTTGGTTAATCCGAAAGAAGTCTCAACTCCGCCTCACTACTTGCCTCATACTTTCGGTCTTATGCGACGCTTCGAAAATCACCATACACAAAACTCCATTAAGTCCTATATATATCTTTGTGCGCGTGTGTGTGGGTATGTGTGTATGTTTCGGTGATCGTGTGAAAACATGTCATTCTAATTTGAGAGACCTCATCTTCCAATCCGAGTGATTTTTCATTCAGAAAGCGATTCGTCATTAAATGCAATCTATCTTCGCCTCGAGTCCAATAGGGTCGGGCGAGTGAGTCAAAATAGCCAGCTTTTAGCCACAGTTGAGAACACAGTTAATGTTGTTTATCCGAATGCTTGGCAATAAAATCTAGTTTCTTTGTACCCAATCTAAGTCTCCTGTAATTTGCATGTTCCGCTCGCTCTCAATTGTTTCCGCCCAGACCTTCCGTCATCAAGCACTATTTCATCTGTTTTCTTACAACTTTCTTTTTCGCTTTTCATAGAAGATGCTATAGCATCGTAATTTTACGATCAAGTTGTCAATGAAGCTTAATGACCCAGAAAGTTTTAAAAAAAAAAAATTGATGGACAAAAGTTTTGATCTCCTTGAGGCGTTTTTGTGTTGTGTAGGAGTAGGAATGGTTATCAGATACGTATTTAATTCATCCCTGGATTGGGCCTCATTATTATCCGGAAATAATATATTTTCTTTCTTTCTTTCTTTCTTTCTTTGTTATCTCAACTGATTTCATTCTCATTTGCTTCTTTCTCGTTTTCTCCTTTTGGTTTTCCCCATCATCATCATCATCATCATCTTCTTCTTCTTTCTTTCTTTCTTTTTTTCTTTGGCTTACCTACCTTTATTTTTTTCTTTTTCTTCTCTTCGCATATTTACCCTCTATTTTCTTCTTCATCATCGTTGCCTCCTTTTTTTTTCTTCCAATACGTAATGTTCAGCATTTTTTCTTCAATCCCTTGCCCCCGTTTTATTTCTTGTTCTATGTTTTTTTCATTGTCCCAACTTTCTTTCTCTCAGCTTCTTATTCAATCTCCCCCCCACCACCACCGTCCTCGTATTCCACTTTTCTTTCTCACACGCATTAACCTTTTTCGTTCCACTCTCCCCCACTTGTCTCACATTTATTTCTCCCGCCGGTAAACTTTTTTCTTTTCTTTTTTTCTCACTTTTCATAATACTTCATTAAACCCATTTTTCTTTCTTTCATTTTCGCATCAAACCTATTTTTCATATTCTCATCAGTTTCTTTCTTTTTATAACTTATATCTTCCTTTTCTTTAAATATTTCTTTAAACACTAATAATACAACTACGAGAGATAAACTTGTTGCTTCCTACGCCATTGATGTCCTTCTCTCTTTACAAGACGCCTTTTTTCTGTTTATGTTTAAAAGGCCAAGCGAAATATGCAAAAAAATGTCACAAGTCATCGATGTTCTGGAAAGTAGCAGAATTGCATGCAAAATATTTATTTTCCCCTCTTTTATTTTCCGTTTCACATTCTCTGCCTAACTTTCACTATTTTTTAGTATTTCTTATGTATGCACAGACGGAAATTTGTATGTATGTATGTGTGTGTGTGTGTGTGCGCGCGCGCGCGCAGCCTCAAAAATTGATTATGCATTGTAGTGTACAAAATTATTGTGTATCAGTTTATTGATCGTTATTCAAGATCCTTCTGAAATTATTGACCCATTCACTTATCTCTGTATCAATGTTATTAATATTTTTCTATCACCCTGTGGATCAATCGACCGATCAATAAAACTGCTTGAAGTATCTTTGTCTAGTTATCTATCTTTATTTAGTTATTTAGTTTATGGTCTTTCAGCTATCGACACCCTTTCTTCTGTCGCTCTAATCAAACTGTTCTCTTTTCATGCATGTAATGGTCATTTGCGTGTGCGATAAAGAGTGTAAGAATATACGCGCCCACAAAATACAAGCCTAACACTGCCATAATTTACAACTTTTTCTCGGGTTTCGTGTTTATGGCTGCAACGTCGGACAGCGTCATATACAACGAGAACATTATTCCACCCGTTCTAATACCATCCTAGCAACAGGAATGGGGTGTGGCTGTTCCATGCTTGCCCACATGATGTCCGTGCTTTACAAGATATCCGGCACAATCGCCAAAACTGTCCCTCATTGAATGTGTGTGAAACATGATGAGACGTTCCTGACTCGTTCAATTAGCCCACCTATAACTCTTGATACAGTATGAGTTGAAGGTCAGCTAACTAAACAAGTGCAAGAAGCATCTAATTGTAGAATAGTATTCGCTATCTGTTCGATTGTATACATGCTAGAGTAACACCAAAGGAAGACTTTTAATACAGTGTTTCTTCAAGACGTAAGCGACCAGTGCCTGTTCACGGATTTCTTTTTTTTTTTCTGAATTAACCTGACCTTGGGGGGAAACAGTGGAGTTGTTTTTCTCCTAGACTGACTGATACTCAAGGCTAGACTGTATAGAGTCTACCGTGCTATTTAACTCATAGCCGGTATGGGCGGGTGAAAAGTTGGATTCACTCTTTCCCAAATTTTTAAAGTTCGGCTCGACGATAAGCAATTTCTGAGTCGACAACTGTTACGCTGCTCACGTATACACGGTGTATTAATATGAAGTTGGAGTATAAATATGGAATCGGAGTATTCTGGATACACACCTCATGTTGGAATCCGTGCACATATTGATTTGTATATGTGAGCATTTACAGTAATCCAATGATATTACCTGAACAAATAATCTTGAATAAATTGAAACACATATTCAAAATGCATCAATTTTATTTACCGTCAGTATCTATTTAACTCTCACTCTATCTCTCTCCTCTCTCTCTCTCTCTCTCTCTCTCTCTCTCTATATATATATATATATATATATATATATATATATATATATATATAAACTGCTTAAGGAACCCGGCCTTCTTGCATATCGTAGACCTAAGAACCTAAAAGAAATCATAGGTAGTAACCACATTTCAGGGGACAAGGTAATCCGTAATGAACTAAGAACAAAAACAACAGGATTTTCCCAACCATGTAACAACAAAAGAAGTTTATGATGCAACCATATTAAAAACACGAATTCATTCACTAGCTCAATCACTAAATCTACTTTCAAAATCTACCACGATTCTAACTGTAGAAGTCATAACATAATTTACCTCCTAGAATGCACACTATGCCAGAAACAATATGTAGGAAAATCTGAATGGTCCTTTCACTACAGAATTAATAATTATCGTAAGCGAATTAAATCGACTCCCCATGAAAAATTATTACCTGTAGAACAACATTTCCGCCTGGAAAAACATGATTTCAAAACCCATGCCAAATTCACTATAATTGAGAGAATAGAAAAGTTCAGAGCAGATAACATTAGAAAGATTTTAGAGTCCCATGAAAATAAATGGATACAACGTCTAAAAACAAAATACCCAGCCGGGCTAAATCATAAATTTAACAATATATAGATAGTAATAATATATAACTCAACAAATCAAAACCTACCCACATTTCTTACCCACACAAGACATACATGCTTACGGAGGTGTGGAGGCCTCACACTTATACACTCACCCACACGAATATACACACTTATACACATCATACTCACTCACTCCCTAATGAGCCAAATGATAACACACACCTACAGCAATACACACGCTTACACATATCATACTCACTCACTCCCTAAGAACCAAATAACACAAACACTAAACAGAGACACATCCCCTCACCAGGTCCAATAAAACTGTCAAACTGACCAGAGAATTCAGAATAACATGTACCTATCCAGCTCTTATCTCAAATAACAACTTAAAAGAGACTGTTTGACCAACACAAGGAATGTTAAAAGATTCATGTTAAAAAGATAAAAAAATAAAAAAACAAATGAAAACTACAGACAAAAATTCATTTTCTCCATCAAGACATACATTTCTGTAGTTCACTGCTACCAGCAAGCAGAAATATTTCTTCTCCCGAAGATGGCCATTTCGGTCGAAACTAGTGAGGAATCTAAATGGAATAATAATAAAAAAACGAAAGAATATTAATCTACAAGCCAGTGTGTCTAAAGATTTTAATTTTTTTAATTTTTATTTTCTTATTGTTCAATATATATATATATATATATATATATATATATATATATATATATATATATTCAGAGCTATATCTCTGGACACATTTTTAGCTGATATAGTTGTTCCTATCAAATCGTGAAATGAAAGTTGTCCTGAACGGCCACCCATTTACATCATTTCGTACTAACGCGGGTATCCCACAGGAATCAATCCTTGGTTCTCCGCTGATTTTAATCTTCATTAACGACCTTCACGATGACATCAGCTCTCAACTTGGCATCTACGCGACGACACTAACATTTACTCCTGCTTCGATAGTAAGGCTGATCAGTCCGACAAGGTCAAAATGACAGCTGATGTACAAAATGACCTCAAGACCGTCGTTAACTGGGGCAAACGATGACTTGTCAATTTTAACGCCTCCAAAACTAAACTTCTTTCTATTAATCATCTGAAAAGCCACACTCTGCTTTTAATCAATATGGCTAATGTTATCCTTCGGGAAAGTAACTAATTGCGCCTTCTCTGACTAACATTCTCAGCTGACATGAAATGGAAAGACTATATCGAATCCATTACTAAATCAGCTGCTAAGAAAGTCGGTTCTCTGTGTCAGGCAAGACAATTCTTCTCTTCTGAAGCTATCTTGCATATCTATATGTCTATCATTAGTCCAAGAATATTAGCTAAGAATATTGCTACCATATGTGGTTCAGTGCCCTTACGATTTACCTGGAGTTCCTTGATGAAGAATCAGCAATATTATTGGTCCTGATCTGGCGGCCCGGCTTTAGTCACTTGCCCACCACCGTTGCCGCTCTCTGCCTTTTTTCATAAATACTTTCATGGTAACTGTTTGGGGGACCTAGATTGTACGAAGTTGAGCGCAATACTGGCGCTGAGATCGCATCAATTTAGAGTTGAGTTGGCAAGATGTAGCTGTAACTTCTACACTAACAGTTTCTTTTCTTGCACTTCTCGCTTGTGGAATTCCCTACTGGCTCCATGCCTTCTAGCCAACATTAATCTGCAAGAATTTAAATGCAATGCCAATCACTATCTACTGTCCTCCTGAATGCTCTTTTCTCTTTCTAATCATTACTGACATTTCTGTTCCTAATTCCTCTACACCCTTTAACCCCCTTGCGCCTTAATGGCTCTACTTTTTTGCTTGGGGTGATACTAATAAAAAAAACAAAACAGTTTAACCTTTTCTTGAATTAATATAGATTGCTCTTCATGTTTTATACCTCCACCATTCACTTTACAAGGATTAAGCAAAATAACCCCCTTCCTCTACCCAAAGCACACAAAATTGATAGATTAAGAGTGTCATGTATGTCCGTCATTGAAAATGGGTTATTTTAATAATTTTTTTTTTGCATTGTTTTCTGCAACAAATCTAGATTGTGTTGCGCCCATATTGACGTATGTGTGTGTGTGTGTGTGTGTGTGTGTGTGTGTGTGTGTGTGTGTGTGTGTGCGCATATTATAATTTTGGTTAGATTCTATGCAGTCATGCATAGCTACCCACTGGGTATACTGACATAACATCCCCCCCCGCCACACACATAAATTCATATAACAACTTTTGCAAATAAAACACTCACTGAATTGTGAAGGCATACACGAAGTGGTAGATATTGTAAGAGCCAACATCTTTTTGCGAATCAAATTTAACTCGGAAGAAATATTGTGTACTAGCTATGAGAACACACAGGGAGCCATGCTGCTTGTCTGATGAATAGACCTGAGTCATTCGCTTCGACCCGTGTTTTTAGCCAGTGTGGGGAATGGGTCGGTCTCTCGCGTTCAGACACAAACCGAACACTAAACATTAGAAATTTACTAACTAAAGCAAAAAACGAGTCAATCCAAAATCGTACCATAACTAATTAACTAAGATATTGAGTAAAATAGATAAATAATTTATCAACATCAAAAGTAATTGGGTGTTTTTACTTCAAGATAACACCTACTAGTTGC